GTTGAATTTTGTCGAATGCTTTTTCAGCATCTATGGAGATGATCTTGTGATTTTTGTCCTTCTTTTTGTTTATGCTGTGGATGATCTTGATGGATTTTTGAATGTTGTACCATCCTTGCATCCCTGAGATGAATCCTACTTGGTCGTGGTGTATGATCCTTCTAATGTATTTTCGATTTCAGTTTGCTAATATTTTGTTGAGTATTATTGCATCTATGTTCATCAGGGATATTGGTTTGTAATTTTCTTTCTCGTTGGGGTTTTTACCTGGTTTTGGTATAAGGGTGATGCTGGCTTCATAGAATGAGTTTGGGTGTATTCCCTCCTCTTCTATTTTTTGGAAAACTTTAAGGAGAATGAGTATTATGTCTTCTCTGTATGTTTAATAAAATTCCACGGTAAATCCATCTGGCCTGGGGGTTTTGCTCTTGGGGAGTTTTTTGATTACTGCTTCAATTTCATTGCTGGTAATTGGTATGTTTAGATTTTCTGTTTTTTCATTGGTCAGTCTTGGAAGGTTGTATTTTTCTAGGAAGTTCTCCATTTCTTCTCGGTTTTCCAGCTTGTTAGCATATAGGTTTTCATAGTATTCTCTAATAATTCTTTGTATTTCTGTGGGTTCTGGCGTCATTTTTCCTTTCTCATTTCTGATTCTGTTGATGCGTGTTGATTCTCTTTTTCTCTTAATAAGTCTGGCTAGGGGCTTATCTATTTTGTTTATTTTCTCAAAGAACCAGTTCTTGGGTTCATTGATTTTTTTCTATTGTTTTATTCTTCTCAATTTTTTAAATTCTTCTCAATTTTAATTATTTCTTCTCTGATCTTTATTATGTCCCTCCTTCTGCTGACTTTAGGCCTCATTTGTTCTTTTTCCAATTTCGATAATTGTAACTTTAGACTATTCATTTGGGATTGCTCTTCCTTCTTTAAATATGCCTGGATTGCTATATACTTTCCTCTTAAAACTGCTTTTGCTGGGTCTCACAGAATTTGGGGCTTTGTGTTGTTGTCATTTGTTTCCATATATTGCTTGATCTCCATTTTAATTTGGTCATTGATCCATTGACTATTTAGGAGCATGTTGTTAAGCCTCCGTGTGTTTGTGAGCCTTTTTGCTTTGTTTGTGCAGTTTATTTCTAGTTTTATACATTTGCAGTCTGAGAAGTTGGTTTGTAGAATTTCAATCTTTTTGAATTTACCGAGGCTTTTTTTTGTGGCCTAGTATGTGGTCTATTCTGGAGAATATTCCATGTGTACTTGAGAAGAATGTGTACCCTGCTGCTTTTGGGTGTAGAGTTGTATAGATGTCTGCTAGGTCCATCTGTTACAGTATGTTGTTCAGTGCTTCTGCGTCCTTATTTTCTGTCTGGTGGATCTGTCCTTTGGAGTGAGTGGTATGTTGAAGTCTCCTAAAATGAATGCATTGCATTCTATTTCCTCCTTTAATTCTCTAAGTATTTGTTTCACATATGCTGGTGCTCCTGTGTTGGGTGCATATATATTTATAATAGTTATATTCTCTTGTTGGACTGACTTTATCATTATGTAATGTCCTTCTTTATCTCATTACTTTGTGTTGAAGTCTATTTTGTCTGATACAAGTACTGCAACACCTGCTTTATCCTCCTTGTTGTTTGCATGAAATATCTTTTTCCATCCCTTGACTTTTAGTCTGTGCATGTCTTTGGGTTTGTGGTGAGTCTCTTGTAAGCAGCATACAGATGGGTCTTGCTTTTTTTATCCATTCTATTACTCTGTGTCATTTTATTGGTGCATTTAGTCCATTTACATTTAGGGTGATTACTGAAAGTTATGTACTTATTGCCATTGCAGGCTTTAGATTCGTGGCTACCAAAGGTTCAAGGTTAGCTTCTTTACTATCTTACCATCTAACTTAATTCGCATATTGAGCTATTATAAACACAGTCTGATGATTCTTTATTTCTCTCCCTTCTTATTCCTCCTCCTCCATTCTTTTATATGTTGGGTGTTTTATTTTCTGCTCTTTTGTGTTTCCTTTGCCTGCTTTTGTGGGTATTTGATTTTATTTTTTGTCTTTAGTTAGTATTTGGTCTGCTTTCTTTGCACGATTTTATTTTCTCTGGTGACATCTATTTAGCCTTAGGAGTGCTTCCATCTTGAGCAGTCCCTCTAATATATCCTGTAAAGGTGGTTTGTGGGAGGCAAATTCCCTCAACTTTTGCTTGTCTGGGAATTGTTTAATCCCTCCTCCATATTTAAATGATAGTCATGCTGGATACAGTATCCTTAGTTCAAGGCTCTTCTGTTTCATTGCATTAACTATATCATGCCATTCTCTTCAGGCCTATAAGGTTTCTGTTGAGAAGTCTGATGATAGCCTGATGGGTTTTCCTTTGTAGGTCACCTTTTTTCTCTCTCTGGCTGCCTTTAACATTCTGTCCTTGTCCTTGATGTCCTTGATCTTTGCCATTTTAATTATTATGTGTCATGGTGTTGTCCTCCTTGGGTCCCTTCTGTTGGGAGTTCTGTGTGCTTCTGTGGTCTGAGCGACTATTTCCTCCCCCAGTTTGGGGAAGTTTTCAACAATTATTTCTTCAAATACACTTTCTATCCCTTTTTCTCTCTCTTCTTCTTCTGGTACCCCTATTATGTGGATATTGTTCCGTTTGGTCACAGTTCTCTTAATATTCTTTCATTCCTGGAAATCCTTTTATCTCTCTCTGTGTCAGCTTCTCTGTGTTCCTGTTCTCTGATTTCTATTCCATTAATGGCTTCTTCCACCTCATCCATTCTGCTTTTAAGTCCTTCCAGAGATTGTTACTTCTGTATTCTCCCTCCCAACTTTATCTGTTGGCTCTTGCATATTTCTCTGCAGCTCCATCAGCATGGTTATGACCTTTATTTTGAATTCTTTTTCAGGAAGATTGGTTAAATCTATCTCCCTAGGTTCCCTCTCAGGGGATGTCTGTGTGATTCTTGTCTAGATCAAATTCTTCTGCCTTTTTATGGCGATAAGAGGTAGTTGTGGACTGTTGGCATGTGTGTCACCTGGGAGAACAAAGTCCCTTCCCACTTGCTCTTTGTCTTTCTGTCCTGCGAGAACGGCAACCCCTGCAGCTTGTGCTGGGCAGCTGTGCGCCGATGGTGTCTCTGAGTCTGGCCCAGGCAGCTGCAGTGGAGGCTCTGTGTGGGCTCTGTGTGTGTGTCTGGTCTCAGGCTGCCCCTCCACTATGGCGGGGCTGCACTGGAAGGGGAACAGGAGGGAGGCTGTTTATTGCCATGAGGGGCCTCAGAGCTGCGCTGCCACCCAGGGGGTTAGGACACCCAGAATTCCCCGGGATTCCCAGCTGCTAGGCTGAGTGTGCTGGGTCGCTTCCGTCTAGCTGTGAGGCTCCTGTCCCTTTAAGACTTTCAAAAAGCAGTCACTTTTTGTTTGTTTTAGGGGTGCTGGCTTTGGGATCCCGCTCGCAGGTTTTACTGTACCGTTGCCCTAGTATCCAGTGCAGCACGCACTGTGTGTCTGTGCTCCCAGTGCAGATGACTAGGGCTGGGTATTTAGCAGTCCTGGACTCCCACTCTCTGCCCTCTCTGACTCCTCTCCTCCCCCTGGGGAGCTGGGGTGGGGGGTGCACTAGTGCCCTGCCTGGCTGCGACTTGTATCTTACCCCCTTCGTGAGGTCCTGGGTTCTTGTAGGTGTAGATATAGCCTGGCTGTTCTCCTATATCTTCTGGTCTCTCTTTTAGGAATAGTTGTATTTGTTGTATTTTCAAAAATATATATGGTTTTGGGAGATTTCCTCTGCCCTACTCACACTGCCATCTTGGCTCCTCTTCCCCTGATATTTTGATTTGTATCTTTAATTGGAGGTGAAGTTGAGCATGTTTTTATAAGTTTATGGACTACCTATGTTTTTCTATGAACTGCTTGTTCGTGTCTTATGCCCATTTTTCTATTTGGTCATTTTTGACATATTGACTTGTAATAGCTGTTATGTTAAGAAAATTAATTCTTTGACATATTTGCCACAAATATTGTTCAGTTTGTTATATACTCCATTAATGATACTTTTTCTATACAGAAGTATAAATTTTGGTGGAAAAATTATCAGTGTTATATTTACAGCTTTTTGGTCTAGTGTTACTAAGGTTTTAACTAGAAAAGGAAAACAGTCATATTTGCATATAAAAAAGAAAAAACCTCTGTTTTGTGGAAAATGGATTGGAAAAGAACAGTATGGAAAAGAAGCAGCCAAGGGACCACAATTACAGAGGTTGTTTCGATAGAGTGAAAGGATGGTATGGGGCTGGGGAGAATGTGGAGAAAAAAGAAGTAGATTGATGTTGGGTTGGATATGTATTAAGAAATTTAAATGCACTCCTGTCCTTGGATTCCAAAAGAAACCTGTGGAATTCCTGTGAAAAATTATTTCTGCTTAAGCTAGCTGGATGGTTTCTACCACTCATATGCAAAGAGGCTTAATAAATACATCCATCAAAGCTGTGTGAAAAAAAGCTCTGTTAAGTCATGTTCTCCTTAATACCTGGAGGAGTTGGTAAAGGCAACGAGGGTTCCAGGGATCAAAGCTGTGTGAAAAATCAATGTGTTACTCTTGACCAAAGAGTCTTAAATTTTCCAACAATTTAGAGGAAGATAATCTAGAACATACATTATTTTTTAAAATTTAAGTATTGTTGAAATACAATCTCATATTGGTTTCAAATGTACAACACAGTGGTTCAACAGTTTACCCATATTATTAAATCCTCACCCCCTCTAGTGTGGTTACTATCAACATAGAAAGATGTTATATAATCATTACTATACTCTCCAGAGAACATACAGTATTTTAATTTAAATCTACAATCCAAAGAAGATCTAGAGGGAACATTTTTGAGTAATGTAAGAAATAGGCCAAGGTTGCTTCCCTGTCTTCTCCCATGTTAAGCCATGTTCTCCTCAATACCTGGAGGAGTTGCTAAAGGTAATGAGGATTCCAGGGATCACATGCACAGATTATTATGCAAAAGCTTCTCTTTTTACAGGGGTCCTGGTATCAAATCATCTCTTTTCCCAAAAGAGCCACTCAGTAGGTATTGAGGATTATTCTTCCAAACATGCTGGTGTGTAGCTGAGTGTGGTAAACTGCCTCTCTGAGCTGAAAAAAGGCACTTTAATTAAAGGCTGGTTCATAAACTCTACACCTAGGTCAATACCAAAATTACTAATACCCAAACTGCCACTACTTCTATCACCATCTACCTCCACAAACCTTTGCAATGAATACATCTTATTTTCCAAGGAGCTTTCACATTCCAATTTACATGAGTTAAGCATAATTTTCTCCATTTTACAGTGAGGAAGACTTGAGGAGCAGCATGGTATAATGGAAAGAGAATGGGCACGGAGGCAGAAAGACCCAGTAGCTACAAGAGCAGCCAAGAGAGCCACAGCCAAGTGAAAGCAGGTATTTAGAGTGGCAGTGGAGCCCTAATGCCCAAAGCTGCTTTGTTTTGAGGGCTCTCATGAATCTGACAAACTGGAAATCTAGTTTTAACAAATTAGTAATCACTTAGAAAATGACATAATTAATAAAAAAAGTTTAGTAAGGTCAATAGAAGTAAAATCAACATGAAAACTGAATTTTATTTCTAAATACCAGAAGAAAAAAGAAATGTAAAAAGATAATATATATAGTATAAAAATGTGAAGTTCTATGAAAAAATTCTAAGTCTTTATTAGGACACATTAAAGAAGACCTAAGTAAATAAAGAAATAGACTATTTGTAGATTGGAGAACCCAGTATTGTAAAAGTCTCCTGTCTTGTGAAATTTGATCTATCGATTCAGTGCAATCCCAAAATTTTAAAAATATCACAAGCTAATTCTAAAATTATACACAAAAGGCAAGAATAACCAAGACATTTTTGAAAACAAGATGGGAGGGTATATCTTTCCACATACCAAAGACTATTTTTATGTTATATGGCAAAATTAAGAAAAGATAGCATTGGTGGAAAACAAACTTGCATATATGGACATTTCAGAAATGACATAGCCTATCAATGGGGAAAGGAAGTACTTTCTAGTTCCTTTCTGCTTTCACTAATGGTCCTGGAAAAATTAGTCATTAGTTTATCTAAGCTTAACTCTCAGTTAATCAATTTACTTCATGAACCCAGGAAAGGTGATGCTACATAAGAATGAAATTATACCTTTAAAGAAGCCATAGTACTGGAGGTGACGGTACATAAAGTCTTCATAGGGATCAGGAAGAGTCTGTGAAAGGAAAGGCCAACTCAAACAGGAAAAGTCCTTTAAAACAACACTGAACTCTTGGTAATAGGCACACAAGCACTGTCCAGAGGGCAGTAGACCTAAGAACGTCTGTAAACAAATCCGGAGAAAGACATTCCTGCAAATTATTCTATCTTGGGGGTCAAGATCTCCGCCTAGAAAAAGGTATCACCGGAATATATCATATGATCAACTATTGTACTTCTGTGGAGTTCCTGAAGAGGGGTGTGTACCGACCTCCTGCTTGAGTTCTGTTTCCAATGCTGGGAACATGTTACTTCTGCGTGGTATGCTCAAGACCAGTCAATGACACCGGTATCCAGCCACAACCCCTGCCCAGTTTCCAAAGGGCAACTGATTACATAGAAGCTAAAAATAAAAAAAACAAGTCAACTGAAAAAACTGCGGATATTCACTCCCCGCTCCGCTCCACAGCTCTCACGCGACTAGAGCAAACCCTTTCCGCATCGCTCCCTCTTCCCTGCCAACCCAACCTCTCCTCAGACAAACAGGCCCTTCTGGCTGGTGGATCCCGCTGGGATGCCCGAGCGCACCTGAGGAATCACGGAGCACGTCTCATCTTCCAGTCTCCTCCCGCGGTCTCGGGACCCTTCCTAGCTTCATGCTTCCCTTTCTCTTTGGAGGGCGATGGCCACCACTAGGACACCGCAGAAAAGGGAAAGAAATGAGAATGGAAAGACCCGGTTAAGTCATTTGGGAGTAGATGAGAAAGAACGGTCAGGGGCCCGGAAAACGGAATTCAGGGGCTCAGAGATTCCTGGTCCAGGGAAGGTAGTAAGGGGCAGTTTCCCCGAAGCGTCGGGGAAGGGCGCGCAGATTTCCTAGGAGAGCGGAGGGCAGGGTGCGACCGTCTTCGCGCCCTGGCCTGTACGGGGCAGCAGGGGTGGGCACGGCGCCAGAGAAAAGCTATGCAGGGCGGAAGGCCAAAGGCCACGGCACGGCAGCTACAAAGGCCGGGCCAGCTCCGGACAGACGAGACGCGTCTCGCCCAGCCGCCACCGCTTTCGGCGAGGGTCCCGGTAGCCTAGCAACTCAAGGGCGTAAGCTGGAAGGAGGGGCTGCCAGGCGCTTCCGGAGTGAAGCCCCGCCTTCAACACTGGGTAAAGGGCACTTGCCCGCGGCTGGAGACCGAATTTGGATTCATCTTCCCTTCTTACGATACTGCAGTCCCGCTTCTGGACAATCGAAACTGGATCGATGAATACAACGCCAGTAGTCTCAGCATATTTCAAACCTCTTTTCCGTTCCTTTGCTTTAGGTAACTGTTAGGTATTGTTCAAAGGGAGCTGCTTCCCCCCTTTCACCTGATAAATGTCCACCCCATAGTCAGAACCTTCTATATTGAAAGAATGCAAGAAACAAAAAATTAAAACCACACGTTTTACCTATCAAATCGTCAGATTTTTAAAAATGCTCCATTCTGGTAGGATAATAAATGCTCAGCTGCTCTGCAGCAATTCCTACAAGTCTGTAAAAACTGTTAGGCAGTTAAAGCAAAGACTTTAGTGACTAGTTGATAGCCTTTACTAAGTCCAGAAAGTTACTCTGTGCAAATTATAAAAAAAACAATTTGTATACGAAAAGGTCATACCGATATTTGCATAATGGTAAATAATATCCAACACACTAGCATACATGACACTGATTAAGTAAACATTTAAATCACATGCATATAAATATACTGGAATAAAATTCAACTATTGTCATCTTTGGTTAACTTTATATGAATATAACCATAAGTATTATAATTAGAGGCAAAAGCTAGAAACTTTTTTCTCAAACTGTAACATTACATCACTTCCAAGATTTAAGTAGGTCAAACACTAGATAATACTAGAGTAAAAGTTCCAAAATTTAACTCATATAGCACTTTCTAGTACTAGAAGACTGTTTTTCTAACCCCACTCCCCCGCACCTCTAAACTGACTCAAGATCCTGCTGCTCTTCAATGTTTGTGGACACCTTATACTGTATTTGATTAGAAAAAAACAAGAATTGATTTAGTCTTGGTTACATAATCGTGAGCAACAGGCTTAGAAGAGCAAAAGGATAACCAATCACAAGTATAAAAAAAGCTTTATTAGTGCATATATACAAATTTACAAGGTCAGAAACTGGAGAAATACAGCTTTAAAACACAACTTGCCTTTTCTTCAGTTTAAAGTGACTTTTACCTGATTGTGATACAACAGAATCTACAGAACAGTGAACTGCATTTTAAATACTGGAATTTTATGAAGAGTACATTCACACATAAAAGGGAGGCAAATTTTGGAACAAGGTTAAGACAATGGAGTCACATTAATACATACAATGGCTCTTGTTACATTTACTGCCACGTATGGGAGGGAGAAATTCTCAAAAACAAAGACATGAACACCTGCTGCTGCCTGTATTGAAATTTAAATATGCCACCTAGTATGTGAAATGACTGTGCTATCAGCTGTAGAATTTGTGAGAAAGAGTAAAGAGCATGGCCATCTGTCAACAAAAGGTAAACAACCTGATATATACTTCAGCACTTAAGAGATGACAGTTTAGAGGAACAGGTCAGAAAGAGATTGATGATCCCAATTAAGCAAGGTAGAATACAGAGCTGCCTTCTTAATTGCACTTGTTCCGGAATTTAAGTTAATGAGAGAGCCACACTAGGCACTAAGTGAGTCCCTAGTAGTTAAGAAAATTCTTCACTTTTCGTCAGTGAGCCCTCTATAGCAGTGTCATATTTATGAGCCACATGTTTCAGACTGATGAAGTTAATGTACCTAACTAACATGCTGAGTTTGACAGTATGAGAACAAAGGCAGTAAACATTACTCCAGCAAAACACTCTCCAGCAAAACAGAAAACATTACATTTCACAAATGTGAAAATTTTGTATGAGTAAGCTCTTGTCCAGGAAATTCATATGCTCTCCCTCATAACATTTATAGTTTATTGACAACTGTAAAACTGGTTTAAGACTCTGAACATGGAATAAGTCAGTAATAAAAATTAAAAAGAATTTTAAATTATGTGTTTGGAGCCATTTTCCTTCTCTTCAGTCTTGCTCGCCAATCCTCAGGAAGGGCTTCAAAATTAGCATTTCTCTCTGCCATGCCACTGTGAAAACAATATACAGATTACTTCACTGGAAAAGAAAAATATGAAACCATTCGTTTCCTAGCAAATAAAAGCTTCTAACAAACTGAAATTTATCACATCTATGTCCATAAAAATACTTCAAGTTTCTCAGTTAAGTGCCAGTATATACTTCATCCAATTCTCATGGGTCAACCAAAGACACACATACTCTGTTTTATGTATATATGTTCATATTTATTTTTATGTATTTCCAATAACCATTAAAGCCACAATGAAGGAATAAAACATACTCTTGTAAAAGTTTTTCTTGGTTCCTAGGAAGTATGATTCTTTAAGGAAGATCTATTTAACCCTCAATATACCATCAGGGACCTTATACTTTTTGAGATTCTCTTTTGATCAGTTTTAACTATTTGTGAAGGACTGTATCTTACGGTTTAGTCACTCATTTAAAAAATATGTTAAAACTCGGATTCTATCTTGCATTTGCCAGAATGGGAGCACTAGATTTTTTCACAAATCTAAAATAATTTAAGATAAATACAGGATCTTCATGATTTCCCCCATCATCTTCAGATAGTTTGCTATTTCATCATTGTAGGAATGAATCATAACTCAATACCTAGCAATACCAAAAGGAGCTAAAAAAATAAAACTAAATAATGAAATCATCTACAAAAATGATGCAAAAGTGAGATAAACTGTCACTTATAGTATCCATCCCCCAATTTTCTTGCCGATTGCCCAAAATGGTGCATTTCTAGATCTTATGAAGACATCTTCATAATCATCTTTATTCCCCCTCACAAATATTGGACAAACCAGAGGATGCATGCCAAGACATAGACAGCAGCGCTGCAGATTCTAATTAAGATGGTAAAATTGATCAAACTATGAATGTTAAAAGGACCACATACTAGATGAATTTTCTCAAATTTAAGACTGATGAATGAATAACATATTTCTAAGGACAAAAAGGAAATATAGTCTTCTCACTCAAAAGGAACAACTTTATCAGCCAACACTTCATAACAAGAACCTGGATCTAATTTTCCTAAAAAAGATATGTTAACAGCAATCTGTCAGGTTTTAAGATTCTCTATGCTACAATTTGATAGATTTGTAAGGGGACAAATGCTGAAAGATGGTGTGTAGTGACTAGAGAAAAACAGAAATTTTAGGAACAAAAAAAATTCACTGGCATGACCACTCCAACTGGTATTTATGTATCTAAAAATGAAAATATTTTGAACTATGAAGCAAAGAAAGACAGCTATCCTCTCCCAAATGTTTTCGTTAAGTACTGCATTTGTGATGTCACAAGTGCAAAAACCAGAAGTGATGACAAGCTAAGAACCTATCAAAGATGAATTTGGAACCTGGCATCACTATGAGATGACTTATGTTCCCGGTTGTGCATGACAACTGGGCAATTAGTTGCATTCAGAGAATGTTGTTCATTTCAGTATGTATACCTTCAAAACAAGTAGCAATTTGGGTTAGTTTGTTTTAACACATACTGAAATGATAATTTCTAATGATGTTTTCTCTCCCCACCCTTTTTTTTTTACCTCTATTATTTGTAAAATAAATTCTTAAAACTACATAAAAGGGTCTATTGAATGTAGACAGTAAATGGAGATGACTACTTTTCTTGTTATAATGAGAATTAAGACAGTCCCTTGCCTAAAATGAATGATCAGTGGAAGCATTACAGCTCTGATATTTCTGGTTTTGAAAAGAGCCATGGCCATTATTTTTATATGGAAACAAACTTTCTATGAATTAAAAACTGTTTTAGATATTAGTCTGTAATCAATACCAAAAATTAAAGGCTGTCATTTTAAGAATACAACTGCTCTAAAATAGCAACTACAATTACCACAACCCATTCCTGGTTTGTTTCTTTGTACCTGACCAGCTGCTGCTGCTTCCACTCTTCAATTCGCTTCTGTGCAGTTGATTCCCGGTCTTCTTCACTGGAACTAGAGTTCTCCTCTTCATCTAACTCACGCTGGATACTCTGCCACTTCTTTACCAGAGATGGCATTTTGGTTTTACTCTTCTTTGCCTGAAACAAAGGTAAAAGGTCAGAAAAAATGTAATATATAAAATAAGGAAATGAGTCCTCCTCCATATAAGATCAGGATCTTTTTCCTAGTTCTAAGGAGTAAGTGGAATTTGAAATCAAGAGAACACAGAAAATAAACACCATTTAAGTTCATGCCAGAAATTTTTACCAACTCTAAACATAATACTTGGTTAAAAACCTAAGAACATAAATGTGGTATTTTATGAGATCAGGTCAGAAACAATTTCTTTAGTCTCCTTATTCTATGGTATTAAAAACAATTGCCCTATCTCATCTCAAAATCAGTGTTCCGTTTTAAAAATTTTAAACAGATGCAGTGTTCACATCAAGTGAAAAATAGAGCTGAAATAAATGACCAGCTTTCTTGTAAAGAGCAACAAAGTCAACAACAATATTAAATACAAAAAAAAAAAAGAAAAAACCCAAGGAGATATATCAGAAGAGCAATGATGGGATTAGTTCTAAGAGGAGGTATTAGAATAAATCTTATTCTTCTTTTGGTTCACCTTCATTTTCTAAATTGTCTATGTAAGTATGATCTTTAGTAAGAAAAAATACTTGTGATATTCACAGAAAGAGTTATATATTCAACATGGTTTGCTCTATCCTTCCAATCAGTGGCTCTCTAGCAAAGAGGACTTCCTTGGCCACCCTATCTGAAAGCACACCACCTCCCAAAGACTGCTTTCTATCCTCTTACACTGTTTATATTTTTACACTGCATTTTAAAACACGGAGCATGTATTTGCTTACCTGTCTCCCCAGTCCCATCCCCTCTCTCCCCCAGCCCACCAGAAGGGAAGCTCTACAATAGCAGAGATTTTGTTTCATTTACTACTAAATCCCAAGCTCTTAGGGATAATACCTAACAAATAGTATGCCTTTAATATATACATATACATATATATATACATAAACATATAGACATCTGTAAGTAGTTATGTGAAATTAGAGAGCCACTGAATCAGACATTGATAAATCCAATTTTTATCCCTGTATTTTTAAAGAGGAGCAGAGCTGTGTGCTTAAAGGCTAGACCAGGTTATAATCACAAGCAGGCACTCAAGTGGTAGGTATGATTGAGTGCTGTGTTCACATTGAGGACTGGGTATAGGGGGCCCAAGCTGTTTATCCTGCCTCACTTTAGACACATTTCTTGATTAAGTCCCCCAAAGTCTGAGAAAATAAGATTAACATTTTCAGTCTTCTTTGATTATTTGGCTCCCTGCTTAATACCCTATTTTGACTATCACTGACAGTTCTTAACTTTTGGGGGAAATGAATGCCCATCTATCATACTTAGACCTTCAGCTTCACACACCTTCCCACATTCCATTCTGTTATTTCAACTGTAGTACACCCTGACCCCACTGTATATGCACCCTTCTAACAAGCTCCAACACAGCCCATTCCGGGTCAGCATGGAACCCACTGAGTAAAAAGTAACATGAATTAATAACAGTCAGTATGTAGAGGGATCACTGGGATAATAACCTTTCACCAAACATCTGCAAATATGATTAAAAAACACAGATCTAGGTATGGTCATTGTTTTATTTTGACTTCTACAGGGTTTCATGAATTGTTAAGTGTATTTTATTCTTATCTGTCATGGGAAAGTAAGTTACATTTTAGAAATTAATACTGCCTAGCATATTCAAAACCATGGATCTAGAGTTGCACTGGTTATTTGAACACATTTTTAGAAGGGGAAGATTGCAGTCAGAGGAATAAAGATGAAATGGCTGGAACTCCTTCTTCCTTAGTTTATTTTCTAGTATGTTGCACACAAAACTCTTTAGTAAAAAGACTGAAAATACTATTGGTCTTAAATATTCTTGAACATTAGAGGCATTAGGGATTTATTTTACATTCTGTAAAAATGGCCTGTAACAACTAAAAGATGGGTCATTGTTTTCAGGTTATCCAGTATGTGAAAATGATACATTAGAGTTCTGGATTGTCAAAAATATTATTTATAAGACCATAAATGGATGACTGGCTAAAAAATTACTTGTTAAATGAATGGAGTAATTACTTCTTTTGGAGGACTGCAGTAAGGGTGCCAGGAAAGCTTTGTAAAATAAATGATTCCTGAGCACTAATTCTAACATTTAATTGTATACAGAATGAACAGCAGTGGGACTGGTGGAGAAAGACATGGAGGTAGTAAACAGTATGTTGGTTCAGGAGAACTGCATATGCTACAGTAAACAGCTTGACAACTGTCTATTCAAAATATTGTCCTAATTGTCACTGTTGACTTTTACATTTACTTCATTTTCAGATAATTTCTGGAACCTGAGCACCAACTTGGATAAAGTGGATCAATCCAGAATCATACTATTTTGTGTGAATGCAAAACTCAATCAGGAAGGTTTCTTGAACCACTGTGAAGCCCTGTTTGACCCCTGGGGCAAAAGACTACAATTGAAGCTGACAACAGAGTGCCAACACTTTGAGTTAAAGCTGATTAAGAAAGCTTATTTGGGTAATCAGGGCATTCAGAAGAGCCCAAGAAGGTGACAGCAGAAAGACGGGACTACGAAGCTCCTGGTTCTTGTTCCCCATGGAAACACTATGTAAACACATACAGACTGACTAAAAAGGCTTTGTGGAAACTCTGGAAACTAGTCAAAGATCTGCAGCATCCAAGAGAACACCCAATCAAGAAAAGCCACTCAGAAAGACAGGACATTTGCTGGCATGTTTGCTCCCCATCCTTAGTGTGGCTGGGATGAAATGGCCCAATTCTCAGGTTCCCTCACTTATGATGCAAGGGAAAGAAAGAGTAGAATGTATGAAATGTTCTAGGCTGTCTAGAGCTGCCTGAGGGATGGGGACTGGTTTCTGTATTGCCTGACTTTGGAGTTCAGGCAGAAATGGCAGCATATTCTGGATTTCAATATGGAAGCTATTAGAGGCTGTGGCAACTGCTGCAGCATATGAAAACTACAGGAGGACTGCAGTGGGAGATTATGGACGGAGGACTGCAACAGAACATCCAAGGCTCCTAAGAGAAGTAGTGTGAGACTCAGGGAAATTAAAACTAAATGTATACAGGGGTATGGGAAAAAAGAACAGAACAAGTTCAGGGAACACAAATATACAGAAGAGGGCTGAAAAGATTTTGGGTCTTCATGCTGGGCTCATTAATGAAGAACTTCCCCCATACACAGCCAGTGTGCAAAAACTGGATGTAGTAGTTGTTTTGTTGAATGCCCAATTTCCAACAAAAAAAATCAAAAGCATACCAAGAAACTGGTAAACACACATTCATAAGAAAAAAATCTCCAGAAATTAACCATAAAGAAATACATGCTTCAGACTATACTAGATAATAATTATCTTAAATGTGTCCAAAGAGCTAAAGGAAAACATAAGCAAAGAACTAAAGGAAATTAGGAAAATGATATGAACAAAATGAAAGTATCAACAAGGAGACAGATGTAAAAAAAGAACCAAATAGAAACTGGACCGGAAAAAACACATTAACTGTATCCAAAACTTCATTAGTTCAACAGCAGACTCCTACAGGCAAAAAAAGAAGGTATTAGCAAAATGTATGATATGTTATTTGAAATCATTTCAGTCTGAGGAGCAAGAAGACAAAGAATGAAGCAAAGTGAACAGAGTCTAAGTAACCTACAGGACAGCAACAAGTACACCAACATATACATTTTGGGAATCTCAGAAGAGGAAGTGAAAGTAGCAGAGTGCTTACTTAAAGAAATAATGGCCAAAAGCTCTTCAAGCTTAAGGAGCAGCACGGATGTATGTATCCAAGAAGCCTAATGAAGCCCAAGTGTGATAAAACAAAAAGACTGTACTGTGACATAAAATCGGTCAAAAGCCAAAGAGAGAATTTTCAAAGCAGCAAAAGTAAAGTGACTTCCGTACAAGAAATCCTCAATAAGATTATCAGAGAATTTCTGGCAGAAACCTTGCAAGTCATAAGGCATATATGGGATGACATATTTAAAATGATCAAACAAGGAACTCATCTGAGAATTCTATACCAGGCACAATTGTCCTCCAAATATAAAAGAGAAATTAAGACATTCCTAGGTAAATAAAAGCTGAAGGAATTCATTACTCCAAGACTTGTCCTGAAAGAAATACAGATGGCCAACAGGCACATGAGAAGATACACATCACTAATCACCAGGGAAATGCAAATCAAAACCACAATGAGGTATCACCTCACACCAGTTAGAATGGCCACTACCCAAAGATGAGAAATAACAAGTGTTGGCAAGGCTGCAGAGAAATGGGAACCCTCCTACATTGCTGGTGGCAATGTAAATTGGTACAATCACTGTGAAAAGCAGTAGAGCGGTCACTCAAAAAACTAAAAAAAGAAGTACCATTCAATCCATTAATTCCACTTCTAGGAATTTACTGGAAGAAAACAAAATCCCTGATTTGAGAATATATATGCTCCCCTCTATTTATTGCCACATTATTTACATAGTCAAGATATGGAAGCAACCTAAGTGTCCATCAATAGATGAACCAATAAAGATGTGGTACACATACACAGTGGGTTGTTATTCATTCATTCATTAAGAAAAAAAGAGAGAGAAATCCCGTCATTTGCAACAAGATGGATGGATCTGGAGGGTACTTTGTTCAGTGAAATGAGCTAGGTGGAGGAAGACAAGTACCATATAATTTCACTTACTTGTGGAATATAAAAACAAAGCAAAACAGAATGAATGAACCAGCAGGAGACTTATAGGCACTGAGAAATGACTAGTAGTTACCATGGAGAAGGAGTTGGCATGGTGGGTGGGAAGGGCAAGGGGGATAAAGGGGCACAAAAATTCTCAACCATAATATAAGTTGGTCACAGGGATAGTGCAGAGCATGGAGAATACGGTCACTGATTCCATAATCTTTCTATGTTGACAGATAGTAACCACACTAGAAGGGGTAAGGGTTTAATAATATGGGCAACTGCTGAACGACTGTGTTGT